AAAAAAAAAAAAAAAAAATTTTTTTTTTTTTTTTTATTTTAAAAAAAAAAAAAAAAAAAAAAAAAAAAAAAAAAAAAGAATCATTGTGTAATGCAATGTTTTTTTTAAGAAACACTTACAAGGAAAACAATCTCAAAATACCCACAAAATGTGCATGGCTTTTTCTTTGGGGATCTAATTTAGATAAATCGAAACCACAGGAAGTATCAGGTATGATGGTAATTATTGAGGCTTTAAGCTTAGGTATTCTTCTAAATACCATCTACACTGAAATTCTGATCTTGTTAGGAGTGAATATTCCCAGATGAACTTGAGATAGACATGTGGTACACCTATAAATATTGTACCACATGCTTCCATAAAAGATGGTCACATTTCTAGATTATTTTGAAAATATAATACATAAACACAATAAAAGACACAAGAATCACAATTGGAGAACTTGGAAACGAAGAAAAATATTTAGCCTTTACTATATTGTTAACTATTTTGTTCAAGGGAAATAAATAATAGATTAAAAAAAGAAATAGGAAAGATAAATGAGTTAATGTTTATCAGACAGCACAGTAATTGATTGCTTTTCCTCTCATAGCTTATTCCAATAGCAAAGTAAAGCATGAAAGTTTGAATTGGCTTCATAATTTTACAGTGCTTTAAGCTACTGTATTTTACCTGCAAGTATGGCAGCTTGAAGACATATATATGGCCTTTACTTTGGATCTAATGATGGGAAATGATTAATTAGGTATAGTAGTTTTATCACTTTTCATGTTGTGCTCAACTCTAGCAATTATGAATTTTAGAAGTAAATATCCTAATTCATAAACAATTCACATTTATATTTATGTAATAGCTAAAAGCCCATACCTTGGTTCTGCCACCAGAAACTCCTAATTCACTATATTTTCATCACTGAGGAACATTTACTTTGTTTATTTATTATTTCCATTTTATTTTAATTAAATATTTATTTTTTACCTTTAAAACCCTTCTTCAAATAATTTTGACCACTTTTAAATAAGTGACTTTATTTAATGTTAATGGATGCTTTATTAAAATAAAAAAAATAGAAAAGGAAAAAAATTAAATATTGATGATGTTCTATGAAATAAAATCTCTCACAGCCAGCAAAGATGTAATTTAGGTATATGATTGAGATTTCCATTTGAGATCATTTTGCTTAAGCTGTTGTTTCAGATTTACTAACCACCATTTAAATTCAACTAGGACTCTTCAACTTGGTCACCTGCTAGAAGTGAAGGCAAAACAATTTGCTGCATCAAAATGGACGACTGAACAGAAATTTTAATACACCAGTTAATGATCAGTGGAAATATTTTCAATCAGTAATATCTTATATTTCTAATTTACATAATTTATGTTCACAAATTATTCATTACATCATCTTGTTGTCTATGGATTGTCAAAAATAACAAAAAAACAAACCAAACAACAGAGGGAGAACAGAAAATAAATGACAGAAGGATTACATCTCTTTCACAAACTTCTACAAAAATGTGTGGTTTTCCACAATTTGTGTGAGGAAAGTCAGAGAAGTCATCTAATGGATTTCACTGGCAAAGGAGCATGCAGTCTACAGGACCAGACAAGATCCAGTCCAAAGTGAAAAAAAAAAAAGAAGAAAAAGAAATAATACAGTTGTCAGGTCCTCAGCATTACCCATTTTACTTAGAAGTTTGCACCACCTATTAAGGAAGATGGCTTAACTCAGCAGAAAGGCTCTGTGATGTAGCAGCTCACCTAAACAAGCAAGACAAGCTTTGGAACAGAGTGATAAAGTACAGGGATTGTTTTTTTTTAAGTATTTTATGTTAATCAATAGTTAACAGAAATAATGAACCAGCAATTTCATCAATATGACTATAACCAAACAGTTAACTGATTTCAAGACACTTTTACCTTGGGAAGTGCTCCAAAAGTTGAACTAAAGTGAGAGGAACTTGCTAATTACACTTAATTCTGAAAGGTGACACCTTTTGTAAAACTTAATTGTGTTCCAGTGTTGAGATAGAAGATGAAAAGTGAGAAATCAAAGAGATCAATGAATTTGTAATGATCTGCTGCTTTTTGTAGATCAGAAGGCTCCAAACATCCCTAAATCTTGGTTTAAAGGCATGTTGACCTATTAATCAAGAAAGGTCAGCTGTCTCAGAATGTCACCTTTTTCAGCTGCTGATCTGGCAGAGAGAATACATAATAAACTCTTTCATCCTTGAGACTCATAGCAGGTAACTCATGGCTTAAAATGAATTTGTGGACCCAGAAAGCTTTTGTCCAGATTAAGGGACTTTTCTACCTTTACAACTAAATTCAGCCAGATATATTTCTGGTTTTATAGTAACCAATATAACTAAATACTGATTCCATGATTCATTGCTTTAAGATGTGATTTGTTGCTCTGTAGGGGACATCAGCTGACACTGTGTATCTTCGCTAATAGTAATAATGGCCAGTCTCTTCGCGAACGAAGAACCGGGGAAGGTTTTTTTACACCTTCCAGCCTGCGCATTGGATTTTTTAGGTGAGACACAGTGTGCGCGGAACTGAGCCCACCCTTTAATCCTGAGGTTCATCTGCCAGGGCCAAGCACGCTTGGACGGTGGCAGCGAGGTCCTCAGGACGTAGATGGATTGCCTTACGGGCTAACGAGCTCCATCTGCCCGGGGAGGGGCCCCGACCAGGAATCGAACCCAGGTCTCTGCAGTGACAGTGCAGTGTCATTTAATAGTAAAGCTCTAATGATAGCTCTTTACTGATAGCTGCTTTACAGCTCTTCTTGCAGTAGGCAAACATTTGTATGTATAGAGAAGGCTCCATGATTTCATAAATTTTAAAGCTTGCAGAACCTATGCTAAGGTGTATCCATGCATGCTTTTAAAATAATTTCAGGAAAAAAAGAGAGTAGACAGTAGTCATCTGTACGATACACAAAAGTACCATTAGTAACATGCATCAATAGTAATCATTATCAAAGTGCAATCCTCTTGCTAATAATTCAGGAACATCAGATTAGCTCATTATCATATCAGAAATTCACATTTATTGGGTAAAGCAGCAATGAGTCTGTAACACTTAAATTAATGAGAATTTTCTCATACTTCCCATCATAATTATTGGTATTGACATTGTGTTCTTTGTGCTTACCTAATTTTAGAGAGAATAGAAGAGAACTATGTGATAAACTTTTTTTCCCCAGATCACCACAGTAACTTTCATAAATTAGCTTATTCATAAAGGCAACTTTTAAAGAACAACTGAATAATAATAATAATAATAATAATAATAATAATAATAATAATAATATCTCCAAGGAAGCCAACTAGAGAGGCAGATTGAATTTTGAAGAGACTTGATTAAGCCTCGAACAAGGAAGTTTACTTTTTCTCTTTACTCAAAAAGATTCCTTCCATTTTAATTTTTTGTACAGCACACAGCTACAAGTGACATCAGTAATCTACACTAAGTGATGATCCCTCCTCATCCTGAGGACTATGCCTTTCGAGTTTACATTCTCTTCTTTCATTAATCCATCTTCTTTTAATTCTTTCACTGTTTCCAGAAACTCTATCTCTGCCTCTATCTCGTCTATTCTATAAACTGAAATGCAAACTTATATCCCAATATATTCTTACGTTGTCACAACGTTTTTAGGAATGTTACACAAATCCTGTATCAGTATTTCCAACAAATACACATCTACCAGAGCTTTAGTTTTCTTCAGAAACTGCAAGTAATGCACATATCATATTTGCTAGATTTGACAACAAAGTCCATTGTCCAAAACACTTTGCCAGCGTGTTTGTGGTCTTGTGTCAGTTTTGGAGATACCTGCGACTGCAGCCAGTATTTGGAGCTCTAAGCTGTAACTTCTCAACATTTGGGAATGGGTAAGACAGGCAAAAATGTCACAGGGATGAAGATAAGAGCTGATGAGGATCCATTATGATGCAAATACAAAGCAGAGCTCAGTGTTTTTTCTCCAGAAGAAAACCCACATAATTGAGACATAGCATACATATTTGATTGTAGAAAGATGATGCAATCAACTGTGATGCTCAATTTGTGGCCTTTATGATTTCCTTTATTCACTGTAACTCCACAAGGAAAATGGGGAAAAAGCTTGCAGGAGAAGGAAAAGTCCAGTTTTATCTTCTTTGAACCATCAGCAGAAATCTCAGAAACACAAACATTAGGTTTGACGGAAGTATAGAGATTGATCTGTGAAGTTATTAGAATAAGTGACTGCTAAGTATCTATATCTTTTAAAGTCTATTTGTTATCATTTTATTTTAGAACTTCTTTGTACAAAATTACAGAATAGAGCATCATTATTATTTTATCTTCACAACCCATTCCTCCATAGAGCTTGGTTCGGTCAAATCCTTGTGTGTGATTTTCAGTCCCTTTTTTGATGGTGGGCTGTCACATCTTCCTGATCCAAGTAGCTCTTAATATGGCCTTCTTCATCATTCTATCATACACCTGAATTTGTTCTATTTTCATTTTCCATATCATTTAGCCTCTCCCTCATTTTATTTTCTTTTAGCAAATCAATTTGAAAGGGGAA